CTGACGATTGTTTTTAAATAATCAACTCACCGCTATCCATCCTGGATGGGGCCACAGTGGCAGGCCTCTGACAAATGTCCTTAGTGAGGGGTCCTGATCGCCTGGGCAGCTCAGCCTGGTTCTGGTGAAAAGCCCTTTGCACACTGAGTGATGCTTCTGAAGTGACTTGCTTCAGATTTGATTAAATGCAAATCCTCTGGTGTATGTTTCTCTCCAATTTGCATCCCCAATGCAGGTTATATAGGAAGGTACTTTTCCCCTCTCTAAGGATTTTTATTCAGTAACAATGAGTTTCCATTAAGAAACAACTCTCTTAAATGTTTATTATAGAAACAAGGCAGCTATTATTTGCTCCATGAATAGCAGTGGTGTTTTCTCATCCTTTAAACTAGAGTTTGGCTTTAAAAAGTAGTGTATTGTGTGAGAACGTCCATATTGTCCAGTTGGTACTGTATTTGTGTTACCTACATGGTTAAGATTTTCAAAAGCTGTACACTTCTCAAACAGTTAAAATTTTAGGAAGGTATTTTTCACTTTGCAAACAGAGATAAACTCCCATACCTTTTAAATAGATGTAGATCATCTTTTTATTTGTAAACAAATGTGGGTGCTACTGCTGAGATTCATACATCAAATATTTGTAAGGGGCTGAAAAAGTCTCTGCGTAGTAGCCCTGTCTGTAGTGGGGTTCAAAGTCACACACGGAGAAACACCTTTCATCAAAATTCTTCCACGAAAAGGAATATTTTTGGTGTATTGTGCTATAAATTCCTCCGGAGGAAAACGTAAAGAGACAGAATTTAGGCGTTTCAGCATTTTCCTTCCTCGTCTTTAACTATTCATAGCAGCTGCTATGGTTGGAACTAGGCACCTTCTGGACCACTTTCCTAGTCATTCTAGATTTGTACAAGTGATGCTTCATAGAGTCACACAGACATTGCCCGATGCTTCTCAAGAACCTGAATGAGGTCAAAGGAGCCTAGAACAACAGTACGTTCTAGGCAGCGGTTCTCAACCTTCCTAATGCTGCGACCCTTTACCACAGTTCCTCATGTTATAATGACCCCAACTGCAAAATTATTTTCATTGCTAGTGTATAACTGTAATTTTGCTTCTGTTCTGAATCATCATGTAAATATATGATATGCAGGATATCTGCCTTGTAAAAGGGCTGTTTGATCCCAAAGGGGTCAGGACCCACAGTTTGAGAACCATAGCCATAGATACTTTGTAAGACAATTAAGAGGTCCTGAAGGCCTAAGATTTTAGATCTGCTCCACTGATGGACGGCTGTAAATGAAAAAAAAAAAAAAAAAACTGGAATTTTCTGATGTGCAAATTTGTATACTCTATGTCTGTACTCATTTTTCTTGTGGAATATAGCACTTGTGGTTTCTGAATATCTAGGAGAAAACCAAAGAGGCAAAACTTGTCTCAGTTTCTCTGTTTCATAACTGTGCAGACCCTGGTGGCCTGTATCTTTCCCCAAGGAGGGGTGTCCTAGGGAGGGGTGTCAGTGATTCATACTCACAGGCTTGCGGCTCCATTAAGTGGACTACCTACCAATTCTATAGTAAATGCCAGCAAGCCTGGAGAGTCCTGAAAAACATCGTACTATTAAAAAGAGCCTGGACAATTGAAAAACTCTGATCAGAATATAATAATCTTATTGTTCTGTAAACACAGTTCTGAGTTCTTACTGCTGACAGAAGGCAGACCAACCTTCTTAGCTGGCTGTCAAGGCTGTCTGTGGTCTGGCTTCAGCCTACCTGTCTATCATTGCTTTCCTCCAAGCATGATAGTTTTTCATATGGATCTTGGACCACTTTCCCCAGAATCACTTGTCTATGCCAGACTTCCTCAGTCAGAGTGTCAGGTGGTCCTGCCAGGAAATCTACACTGTAAAGAGCCCCCCCCCCCACCATGTGTTCTGAAATCCTAAGGGTGGATGGCCTCTACAGTAGCTATGATTAAGCACTCACATGTTTGTTTATTTTATTTGTTTATTTTGGGGAGGCCTATCATATTGTAGGCTGTCCTCGAGTATGCTAGGATACAACAGACCTCTCAAAGCACCTTTTTCTCACTTTGTGCTAATAAAAACTCTACCCGATCTTTTAAGATTCAGCCACTAATATATATTTTTCTCTCATGGTTTACCTGTGTATGTACCAAGATGGTTTTACTGACATGAGAGCTCTATAAACGCTGTCCTTTCTTGTGTGTGGTTTGTAATACATCCTCCTTCCTTTTCTCCTTCTCTCTTCTCCTCCTTCCCATTTCTCCTTCAGAGTCCCATAATACTGATATCCATAAATCAGTTCAAAATCAAATGATTAAGGAGCAGGGGGTGTTTCTGGCAGGGCTTGCCTGTGTTGGGTGGCTCTACTTTGCTGCAGCCTTAGTCCTGAGCATGGGACATACATGCATTGTACTGTTACTGGGTTCCATACCATGCAGTGCCAATGAGGGCTGCCTGGAACACTTCAGTTCAGATTCCAGCCTACTGTATGTTATTAAACACAGGTTTTTTCCCCCCTGTACATACAAAGTACAAAGTTTCAGCTCTTACACAGGCCTGACCAACATCTTCAGGGACTTCCTCGTGCCCCAGGCCATACTTTTGGGGACCATACCCAGAGCTGTTTCATACCTTCCTGGATGTGTGGCCGTCTACTAGAGGTTTAGTTTTAGTTGTATGAACATGTGTGGGGATAGGACAGGTACTTGTGAGCACTCACGGAGGGTGGAAGCTAGCATCAAATTGCCTTGGAGTTTGTGGGCCACCTGATGTGGGTGCTGGGAACTGAACCTGGGAGCTCTGGAAGAAAGCGTGCTCTCTCAACCCTTCAGCCATCTCTCTGGCCTGACACTTCAATGACAACTTTTTATCGTGATGCTCTCTTTAAAAAAAGGCGTTTGACTGATATTTAGACAGCTTACATGGTACATGACTAGGGGACCGACTCAGTCCAGGTTTGCTTGGGACAGTCCCCATCTATATTTACCGTGACTTGTCATCTGGTTAGTGTCCCCATTTACTCTTTTGGAGGGTTATGTGGTTAGGTCAACAGTGATGCAGGAAGGAACAGCCACATTTTAACTGCTGGTTAGATAACAGCAATTATGGCATGACCTCTATCTTAGGAAAGTGGGAACATGAACTTATATATAGCTTAGAGTTCATGAAAAGTCCAAATGTTGATTTCTGTAACTCATTTCTCTAATAAGAAATACAAACTAATTTCCATAGATCACTCAGTTCTAGGCTTGAATATGAAATGGCCCCTGGTGTGTGAATGCCAGGTGATGTTGCTGGTTCTATTTTGGGAAGTTCTGGAAAGCTTAGGAGTTTGGGGACATCTTGACCCTATCCCCTTCTCTCTTCCTTCATCTCCTTCCTGACCACCATGATAAGAAATGCTGTGCTCTATCATACACACCTCCAAGACCATGAGCTATATCAAGCCCTTCCCCCTTAAGTGTTTCTGCCAGATACTTGGTCATGATGATATAAAAATTAGTATCCTGAGTGCGAGCATGGAAACAACCAGATCCGTGCTGTCGCGGGCTGACCACTTAGTGGGAAAGAAGGATAGAACACAGTGTTCACGTGGAGGTTCTCCTTGTCTCCCAGGACTTAAACTTTAGGGAAGTGTTTATCCTTTGAAAATTTGAGGTTTCGATAAACATCAAAATATCCCCTCTCCTAAACATTCAGTGTCCTCGTTTCATTCTCATTGCTGTGAAAATATCCTGACAAAGGGTGATTCAGAGGGGAAAGCGTTCATTTCAGTGGAGAGTTCTAGGTTACAGTCCATTGCTGCCGGGAAGTGAAGGCAGCGGGACCTTGAAGCAGTTCGTCACGTCACATCCACTGTCAACCCAGAGAGAATGCAGCTCGGAGAGAGTGGATACACTCACGTTCCATTCTCAGCCAGCTTTCCCCTACTCTTATGCATCCCAGGACCCCAAATCAGGCAAGGGTGCTGTCCACTTTCAGGCTGAGTCTCTCCACACCAGTGACAGCATCCAAGACAGCTCTTCATAGATGACGGACCAAACTCACCTAGTATCAACCTTCCTTGATACTCTCTTCCCAGGTGATTGATTCTAGGTTGTGCCACGTTCACAAGCAACCAACCAACTAACCAACATGGTCAGAATGTGATACTTTTCTTTCCATCTTTTCTCCTTCTCCTCTTCTCCCTCCCCTTACTTCTTCCTTTGGCCTGCCTTGCTTCTCTCTCCCCCAACCCCTCCTTTTCCTCCTGCTCCTCTATCTTTTAATCACTGCTATGGCTGCCAGCTTGACTGCAGCTGGAGTAAGCTGGAACCCAGTGGTGTCCCCCAGCCTGCTTTCTCTTTCCTGACTTGTGCGGATTTCCTTTCGTTTTCTACCATCCGCATTTCCATTCAGTCCACCTTAGTCGTCCTACAGCTCTGACTTTCACTGCCTCAATGGAATACCAAATGACTCCCAAGGCCCATAAATGAAGACTAGGTCTCAAACTGGCATCCAAGTCCTCCGTGGTAACGCAGTAACCTCAAGTGGAGCCAGGCTCTACCCGGTGGCTGTATTGTTCTCCCATTCGCTCTCTACACTTCCTGCATCTCCAAGTTCCACACCCAGTTCACAGTCTTATTTACTATCGATAGCTCCTTTTCGTACCTCCGAAGAGTCTACCCTTCCAATCCCATCATATACGCCTCCTCTGTAAAGAGCCCCCTGCTGTCCCTGGACCAAGAGTGATCCCCTTTATTTAATCTCTACAGATCTTTCTACGATACCTAATTTTCTTCTCTGAACTGTAGCTATTTACTCTCGGGCTTCCCACTAGATGGTGAGTTCTAAGGATGAGCATACACGTTGCCAGTGGAATGCAGAGGTGCTCAAATACTTACCGTGAGAAAAGTCTCTAAATGGCAATGAAGAAAAAAGTGAAAAAGGAAATCTCTGAAGGCCTTGTGCCCAGAAAAACAAAAAGCAAACAGCTTACCACCTTTCCGAACTGTAACATGAAGGAGGCTTGGTTTTAGGATGCTGCGGTCCAGGGCCTCTTTGTTACAGCACCTTAACCTGTCCAGGGAGCACAGAGAGCAGAGGCATGGTAGAGCTCATTCGTTCCTTTATCTCTGGGACCCCAGTCAGGGGTATGACAACTAAACGAAGATGTGAGGGGTGACTCTGTCAGCCTGAGTAAGTTGGAAGGTTTTCTTTTCTTTTTATCTTAAAAAATGGTATTTATTGAGTTTTTGTGAATGTCACATCATGCACCTCAATCCCACTCATCTCCCTGTCCCTTCATATCCACTCTTTACCCTTGCAACCTCCACCCCAAAAGAAAATAAGATAGAATAAAAGAAATCTGTAATGGAAGTTTTATTGTGTCTACAATATAACCTTTCATCCACTTCTTTACTTGCAAATGTTTGTTGCAATGAGTCACTGCTCTGGTTCGAGGCCTCTGGCTTCTGCTTCGCTATCAATACTGGATCATCACCAGGATTCCTTTCAGATATCCTGTTGTTGCCCTGTGTCATAGAGAACCTGCAGCTACAGATCTGTAGGCCTGGCTTAGGGAGATATTCAGTGGCCTGGGCTGTTTCTTATTGGTAAAGAGAAACACACATACAATAGATAGATAGATAGATAGATAGATAGATAGATAGATAGATAGATAGACAGACAGACAGACAGACAGCAGAGACTTGACATGGAATTAAGAGAGTGCTAACATGACCGACCAGTAAGAGTGTGTGGTCTCTGGTGAAACTAAGCTTTCAGTTCAAGTGACCTTGAGAGATAAATTCAAAGGAGATAAAAAGAAACAACGAAAAAGATGGGCAGGGAGTCTGCAATCAGGATGGATATGAACAGGAAGGAGAGAGATTAAATTGTCACATCACCCCAATTAGCCTGAAAAGCAGGAATCATGCCTGTCTCCGCCTTTGTCTGGAAGCTGGCCTTTCCAGAGCGTGGGATGTAACAAAGTCCAGGGGCCGACGGAAACATCTGAAGGCCGACTCACGAAAAACTGTGGAGCACTGGCTCCATGGCGTCTAGGGCCTAGAGGGAGCATCCCAATCGGCTGTTTGGTTGCCTTTGGGCTTGAACGCTACACCCATGCCAAACCACCCCTGACTGGCTTTACCACTTAACAACCTCATCTGTAGCTGGCACCAAACCAGGACCATTACTTAGAGTTCTAGAAACTGCTTGTATTCAATTCCTTCAGACGGCCTCTTCCGGGTCTTTAATATTGTGCTCCCCGTTCACATGCCTGGTCCAGATCACCATTGACCTCTTCTAGCCTTTCTAGAAGGGGTACTGAGAGCCCCAGGTGAGTTGCTCAGACCGCTCTCGCTACGCTATTGATATTGTAGCAAAAGCCAGAGACCTCGAAACAGACCAGGGACTCATCGCGATGAACATTCCCAAGTAAAGATGTGTGAATAAAAAGGTACACTGTGGGACACACTACAACTTCCATGACAGATTTTTTAAATTCCTATTTTATGTGTCAAGCGACAAGAGTTAATGTCTGCCACCGCTTGAAACCACAGGAAGAGGTCTATTTCTTCCCCTAGAACATTTCCCACAGAATGAATTTTATCTGGGTCGGTTCCTTCTTCCATCTGGGGCAAGACCTCAATTTCCCCTGCCTCAGTCAACCCTGGATGTACTTCCAGACATGGCCACGAGGTGGCGCCTCAACTCTACACGTAGTTCACTGAAGGACTTGTATGAGATCTGGGTTCACAGAACGAGCTTTGGGTAACAGCAGAGACACTGAGGGTGTGGACTCTTTCCATCCTTCAAATTCCGGAAAGCAGCCTGAATGGTCTTTCGCGAGTGGTTTCAAGAAAGGAGGCTGTTTTCACAAGGTCCCCAGTCCAGTCCTCTGAGCCACTTCCCGTCCTTCACTGCCAAGTACCCCGCCCCCTTTCTCTAGCGTTAAGAAGGGAAGAAGACTGGCGGCTAGACAGGGCTGTTGAACTGTGATAACATGTCTATCATTTGTTAGCATGTTCCAAGTTACAAACTAGACGGAACCAAGCAAGCTCCAGCCCCTGGGAGGCTCTGGTTTGTTGTGGGGACACTCACAAGAGAACATCCGGCCTTTTCTCCAAGGAGGAGCTCTGGTACAACGTGCCTTCTTACCTTCAGGTTAGGGACAGCCCTGCATTTGACAGGTTGTCTGTTAGAGAACAGCAGCCTGTTCTCTGGGGTTGACCTTCTTGCAGCTGACTGCTCAGAGGCAGAATAACACCCAAGGCTGGCTGCTCCAGCTTCCCTCGCATCCCCAGTGTCCAACCAGCTCTAGGCCCTTCCTCCACTAGTAACCACTGCACACCTAACTGGCAGGTTCTTTTTTCTTTTCTTCAGAAAAAAACAAAAACAATGTAACAAAAAAGACAAAACAAAACAAAACACCTCTTCTGCTTTGCTAGATATACAACCTTTGAAGTCATTTGGTTGGAACTTATCTATCTAACGTTTCCTCTGGCCAGCTACTGTGCTTGTAGGTTTCTTGTGTGGTGACATATTGCTGAGGAATGCATCTGTACTTACTGCCATCTAAAAGGAGGGCTCAGCTTGCTTCTCTGTAGGACAAATCCATCAGTTCCTGGAGTGAGTATGGGGGGGTGCCGAAGTGAGGAGAGGCATAGAGTGCTTGGGACAAAAGTCATCTATTGTGTATCATAATATGACATTCCTGTCACCCCAGGAGTCCACTTTGAACCCACACTGGGGCTAGCCTATACTTTCCTGAGAACAGCTCTCTTCCCTTCATAGACTGTCCTTTAGGGACCTCAGGTTGTCCTTTGTTTAGTGGCTTGATGACTGACTGTTGGTGCAAACTAGTGGCCAGAGAATGAAGGCCAGTCTCCCCCAGCACAGGAATTCTGAGTACGCCCCTCCCCCACACAGGTCAGAGGAAGGTTCTGAAGTCTTGGGTGCCTGTTTCTTGCTGTTAAGTGGCTGCTAGCTAGGAACAGTCCTTCTTTCATGACATACAAGGACACTGGGCTATTAAGATAGAAAGTGAAGCCAGGGGTGATGGTGCACACCTTTAATCCCAGAACTCAGGTGGCAGAGGCAGGAGGATCTCTGAGTGAGAACAGCCTGATCTACATAATGAGTTCCAGACAGGGCTATACAGTCACCCTGTCCAGAAATAGATAGTAAGTTCTGTGCCCACATAAAAGAAAACCACAGCGAGTCACTCATTTCTGATAAATAGATTTGCACTTTGGGTTCTGTGCTGAAAACATTTTGTCCTTTTTGTTTATTTTTAAAGCTTTTGCATTTGTTGTTGTTAAAGCTTGCTAAAGAATGTTGTGGGGTGGTTCCTCTCCTAACGTCTCAACCTGGACTCCAGGGACTGTAGTTGAAAACGATAGCTAGCAGCTGCCTTCCATGATAGAAAGAGCTGCCTGGACTCGGAGGCCCCTTAGGAGCCTTGCTCAGGCTTATGAGAAAGCAGCAGGTGTCCCCAGCTCCTGCCTCCACTTGCAGGCAAGAAAACTAGAAGGGTTGGGGCTAGATGTCCACTATAAACTGCTGTCAGAACGGAGAGCCAGTGTGGTGGCGTTTAAAGGGGAGGGTGGAGGGGGATGATTTGGTCCAGTTCGCTCCTCCCACACGGATGAGATTGGCACCCTTGTTAGTTTGCTTGAGCTCAAGGGAACTAAGAGGTGCCCTGTGTCCTCCAGTCTTTTGGCACGCAAGCACATGGTGCTTACTTCTCCTGCCACTCCAGGCGGGAAGAAGACCTTCAGCAGACGCTGCCGACTCCAGGACTACACGGAACCAGCTTCTATTCTTTTCTTTTAGATTCTTTTTAAAAGTATTATTATTATTATTATTATTATTATTATTTACACCCCTATCAGTGGACTGGGATACAACTTCTTTCTATTCTTAACAAGTTGCCTGGCATCAGCCATTTTGGTGTAGCAGTGCACGAAGATGGAACCGGGGGTGAAAGCAGTGCAATGGAGACAGAAGCCATGCCTGTGGGACTTCTGTTACTTCTCTTTTCTCTGAGTATGGGGAAAGTCCATCACTTTTCACTCATGTGAGCCAGGGAAGGCATTTGAGACTAGGACAGGGTGTGGCCAAGACAAGGATACAGATGCCTCTTGTGCCCTCTTGCCCAGATGGTTACTTTCCTTGCTTGGTCATTGACCACCAACAATGATCTTATGTCGGTCCCACTATAACTCCCTCTTCTGTTGCCCCTAAGATGACATCAGTTTAGTCTAACTCACTAAGTTCTATTGTTTGGGCCATGATGATCGCTTTGTCCGTTATTCCCTGCATTCTATTCTGTATGAACATTTTCAGATGGAATCACAATTATTTTTCAAACTATTTTCTTTTAAAGAACACAGCATCATGGGTAAACAGAGTTAGTTAGCAGCAGCTTTTTTTTTTTTTTTTTTTTACTTTTTGACTTTTTGGCTTTTTTTTGGCATGGGTTGGAAAGCATAGCTGGAAGTACTAACCAGTGTGCTTTCTGGCGTTCACGCGTCTTTCTCCCGCTGGAGTGTTACACTTCTCTGGGCCATCTTCCTTTGCCCAGGCCTTACTAAAGCAGGCAGAGACTCAGGAACTTCTGGCCTCGCTAGGATAGAGGATACTGTGCTGTAGTCAATGCTCAGTTTTCCACCACGAAGGACCAGGTAAGGCTGGAGTTAGGAGAGAGAGAAGGGTGGAGCAGCAATGCAGCTAGAACACCAAGCGTCGGGAGATGAGTCCCAGCCAGGGCAAGGGTTACCGGTGGAGAGGGAGGTTGCCTTCACAGCTAGCACCCTATCCATTGTCTGTCCCTAGCCCACTGTCCACCACCCTGGGAAGTCTTTGAGAGACTTAGTGTGGTGTGGCTGAGGAAGGGGTACCAAAGGAAACCAAAGCCCCTGGCCAACGCAGAACTATTAGAACTGCTCACCATCATAACATTTCCCACTGAACAAGGGAAGTCATGGGCAGGCTCCCCCTGTCACATACGTCAGTGTTGTCATCCCACCGCTCTTCAGGGTTAGCATCTGTTCTGCATCATCCTGGGGCCAACAATGCCAGCTTTGCAGGTGGTGGGGGTTGACTTAGCCCGAAGCTCACTGCTCCAACTTCCTGCTCCAGATTTTGTGCTCTAACATGCTTGATTGCTTTTGTAGAATTTATGGTTTACAGTAAATACAGAATATTTACAGATATATTCTCAAGTAGTCAAGTCATTGGCATTTCTTGAATTAATTTTAGGGTAAGAATTATACTTCTGCATGAATGTACATTGTTATGGAAATGTAGAAAATATGTACCCCTCTGTGACTAAACTATCTCACAAACATGTCTTGGTCCGAGTCTGTGCTTATTCTATATACATAGACAGAGTCATCAAACTGAAGGTCCAACTTAGGCAACAGATGTTGTCTACTAAAATGAGACACAAGAAAAGAAATATAGGAACTTAAAAAGTAAACGGTTAAGAATAGTGTCAGATCTATATATCACCTACCCAAATAATGTGGGCTAATGTATAGAAGTTAAATTTTAATTAAGTGGTTCTTCCTTGTTGCAGGAGGAAAAGAATTCAGCAGGACTGTCAAGTGTTTCAGGGGATATATCAGGGGTTCTTCTGTGTGTTCCTTGCGGGAGGGAAAGCGAAGGCAGCTGCAGAGAGTTCAGACTGTGTGTTTCAGTGGGAGCAGTCTGCTGGCCCTGAGAATCAGGATAACTGACGCTCAGTCCTGAGGGGAGATGGAGGAGAATACCTACTTCAGAGAGCTAGGGTAGGAAGAGTTCTGCAGGCAGCTGCTGAAAGACCCCAGGGAAATATTTTTGAGTCTTTAAACAAGTAATCCCTAGAGAGCCTGAGGCCAGTGTGCGGTAACCTGTGCAGTGGACCAACAGCTTCTGATTCAGCAGAACTCAACTGTTTGCCTCTGGCTTCAGCCTAAATGATCCCAAAGGGGCAGTGCCTCTGGACAGGGTTTGCAGTGTGGTGGAGGAAGAGCTCACTTTCCCCTGCAGCCATTTGAGGCTTTAGT